TCAAGCTCACCTTCCCACCCCACTCTCTGGACTCTTTCCTCAGCCTTCACAGAGCCCCAGCCTCCACCCTTCTGTCCCCACTCCTCTCCAAAAGCACTTCCCAATCCCTTTAAAATACACTATTCTCCTCCCAGTTCTGCTGGAACCTGGCCAGAGGAGTCAGTCCAAGAGAATGGGAACCAAGTAGCGTGTTAACTGCCCGTGTGATACCGCCCTTGCCTTCCACGAAAGCTCTCTTGCAGCAGTAGTTTGTTCTTAACTCTTTTCTTAACAATTGGGTTACTTTTAGGAATTAGAGGTTTCCTTTAGAGCAAGAAACTTAATCTTAAACCACTCTTCACACTCACTGGGTGGGGACAATTTTCACCTGTTCATGCGTCTTGCCCAACTGGCTTAAACTAACAGTAAGGGAAACCTGTAGATACAGAAACAGAAATCAGCCTCAAAGTGACAGAAACTTACCCTGCTGGCTAGCTTATGCAGTGCCCAAAGGTGTAATGTGTGAGAAAAGACCTCAGTGGTCTGTCTCATCCAGTATTGGATCCTGTATGCTGTAATACTGACCTGCCTGGCAAAACATGCCTTTTGGTCAAAGAGTGGTATGACAGTTATAAGGGTAACCAACTGCTTTCTGATGTGCCATGAGGCTGCTTCAGTGCAGGAATGTCATACCTGGTAAACCCAGTTAATCTAACTAAGCTGAGAGCAAGGGAAGCCTGTGGACAGACAGAATGACACATCATAGATTCATATCCACAAGAACAAGCTGCAACGTTGACAACTGCTATTGACTGGCTGACAAGTTGGCTGGGTCAGGTACCCCATCCTCCCTAAGCCCTCTGCTTCCAAAGCTGGGAATGCTACCAAAAGATTGCACAGACGTTGGGCCAGAGTTCATCTGCTTTGTTCCAGCCCATGGTATCATAATCAGCTCTAACAAATTCAGTTGTATTCCAAGTTGGCAGCTAAATAAAAGGAGCATTTTGATTTTTTTTTTTTTGCTATTTTTTGTTGGTGTGTGTGTGTGTGTGTGTGTGTGTGTGTGTGTGTGTGTGTGTGATGTATGCCTTTGGATGCAGGAGCATGCATGTGTGCATGAGTGCCTGTCTCTCTGTCTCTCTGTCTCTCTGTCTGTCTGTCTGTCTGTCTGTCTGTCTCTCTCTCTCTCTCTCTCTCTCTCTCTCTCTGAGCGCAGCAATAGGCTAGAATGGCCACCTCGCAAGCTCCTGGGATCTGCCTGTATCACCTTCTCAGTGTGGAAAATAAATGTTAACAATTATGTGGGGGCTGGAAATCTTAATTCAGGTCTCTGTGTTTGCAAAGCAGACACTTTACCAACTGAACCACCCCCCAAGTCCTTTTTGTTTGCTTTCTAAGACAAGGTTTTAGTGTGGAGTCCAGGTTGTCATCAAACTCTCACGATGCTCCTGCTCCAGCCTCCCTAGTCCTGGGATCACAGTGTGTGCCAGCAAGTCTAGCCAGAAGGAACACAGCCTACAGAGAAAAGGCTTTACTCAGTCAATAAGTATTTGTGAGTTCCTAGGAAGAGCAAGCATCAAGAGATGAGGCAGTGGCCAGTGCATGGTGACTCTACTCTCTTTAGCTTATGTATGGGAGAGAGCAAACTGCAGAGAGTTGCTCATGAGGACAGAACACAGCTGAGGACTCCATGATTTCTCAGCATTCTGAGAAATATTTTGTAGAAGTATTTAATTGTTAAGAATCCATAGGACGTAACCCAAATATACTGAGCAGTTTATTTTTAACATATTTATTATTGTATGTTTGTGCAAGAACCATGGGCATTCCTATATGCCACAGCACATATGTGGCACTCAGAGGGCAATTTGGTGGACTTGGTTCTCTCCCCACCTTTATACAGGTTTCAAGGGCTGGAGTCAGGTTATCAGGGTTGCATGGCAAGTGCTCTCCCTGCTGGGTCACCTTGCCAGCTCCTGAAGCTTATTTTTAAAAATGAAATTCCAAGGGCTGAGAAGCCTCAGTCAGGAAAATGCTTGCCACACAAGCATGGGAACATTGAGTTCAATTTCCATAAACTATGCAAAACATTCAGGTGGCATGTGTTTATAATCCCTGTGCAGGGGAGACAGAACAGAAGGGACCCCTAGGGTTCACTGGCCCAGCCAGTCTAGCCTACTTGGTGAGTTCCAGGACAAGGAAAGGCGCTGTCTCTCAACCCAAAAGGAAGGTACCTGAGGAATTACAGCCAAAGTTTTTCTATGGCCTCCAAATGCCATCCCAACTCCCTGGGGTAGAAGCACTAAGGGCAGGGCTTTAGATGACACTTCCATAGATAATACACTAACAAAGAGTCAACGAGCAGCAAGGAAAGGGACAGGAAGTGTGCTGAGAAACAAGCCCTCACTTACCCTGAAACTCTGTCTAGGGGAGACTCCAAAACAAGAAGTGCTCTTCCTTCTCAACCCTGGCTCTAGATGACTCAGCACCCACAACCCTTCAGCATGTCTGTCACCCACTTGAAATAATTTTTGTACCCTCATCTGGAGCCACTACATGGAATTAAGAAAGCGAATCTTGTTCCTAACAAGCACCCAACAGATCAATCTTGAACTACATACAGACTATCAAGATAACGGCAGCACTTGCACTGATCTGCCTGCCTGCATCTCAGTCCATTCAAAGGCTCATGGTGCCATGATCTTTTGAAAGTGACAAGGAAATTACAGAATGGAATACAAGTCTACCACAGCTATTCATCTGACCCTTAAGAGGGTAGGGTCCCCTAAATCACCACAATGGGGGAAATCCATACCCTTTATACATCACAGGCAATTTCTCCAAGTATAACTCCAAAATTTTTGTTACTCTTGCTTTCTGAGCAAAGTGGCTCGCAAACTGACCAACCTAGATGCCTTCCTTGTAATTAAATTCCTCCTTAAACATTCCACAAAACCTGACTGATGCTGTTGGTGACATCTGAAAGCTTGGGCTTAAGTTTTTGATTTTGCAGAGCTAGGAATCCAACTCACGACCTCAGATATACTAACTAGGCAGACACTATCCAGCACTGAGCAACAGCCCCAGCCCTCCCTTTGTAAACTACTAGTTATGATGAGGTGGAGGGTAGAAAGGGTGGCGATCTGTGCTCCAGGCCTCTTGCCACACATTAGATTTAAGAGGAACAATATCTTTTTTTTTTTTTAAATGACTTCCAGAGAATTTTTCTATCACTCTTCTCTTCCACCTTGGTATCCAATGGCAGAAAATTCTCCTTTTGTCCCACTAAATTCTTCCATCCACTTGTGCTGCCTCCCTTCCTCCCACTCCCATGGAGCTAAGCTTCCCATGACAAGCTTGCATAAGACAGTTGTGCACTCCATCATCTCTGCTGGAAATCTGGATGGCTTCCATCTCCATCAGAATGAATGCCTGCATCCCCAGAACGACTAACCTCTGCCATCATTTAGCCAGCCTATCTCTTTCTTAGTTCTCCAGCCTCATCCCCTTTTACTCTCTCATTCCCTGCATTTCCCTTCTTAATAAGCTATCTCTAAACCAGGCGTTGGTGGCACAAGCCTTTAATCCCAGCACTCGGGAGGCAGAAGCAGGAGCATCTCTGTGAGTTCAAGGCCAGCCTAGTCTACAGAGTGAGTTCCAGGACAGCCTCCAAAGAAATACAAAGAAACCCTGTCTCGAAAAACAAAACAAAACAAAAAAAGCTATCTCTATTTCTATGTCTAAACACAGGCCTCTGGTGCAATCCTCTGCCCTGAGACAGGATGCTTGGAATTGAATACCCTTGAACCCAACGCCCTGCTGAGGGCTTTGTCACTGTTTCTCTAACCTCAGGCCTAGCTTAAAAGGCATTGACTTTTCCTCCATTTCCTTTCTTTCTAGTGTGTATCAGTATTTTCAGCTTGTCTTCCCTGTTGTCTTAAACCTCAAACTTCAATGAAATTGTCCTCAGGCTTCCTTCTGAGTCAATTTTAGATTATTTTGTTAATGAGACAAAGAACTCAAAGGGGATATCAATTTCCACAGCAACCGTTGCTCACCCCTGCTCTCTGCTAGAATGCTGCTTCCCTTACTTGCAGGAATTGCTCAGTGAAATGTTCAGGTATTATTACATTGGCAAAAATGCAGATGTAAAAGACCCCTTTAAAAGACAGACCCCTGCCCACTTCCTGTGTCTCTCTCGTCTCTCCCACTCTCGCTCTCCTTCCCCGACCTGGAGTAAACTATGGTTAATGTATCTCTCGTTCCCACATCTCATCTCTTGTGCCTTTCTTATATTTTTAAACTTTTACAAAATAACAACTCTCAGGCTGTATCTTCTCTCCACCGTGCCCCCCACCACACCCACCAGTTAAAACTCCCAACTCTTCACTTTTCTTAAAAAAAATCCATAATCTAGTATGCCAACTATTACTATAAGAAGCTCTAAGGTTGCAGAGATTCATCTGTCCACTGCTGCGTGTCCGAAGTCTAGAAGCCTGCACTGATGAGGCCGAGTGTTTAAAAAAGCATTTGAGAAGAAAGGTTATTCACTGAACAAGGGTTTGTTGGGCACCTCCCCCGTGCAAAACGTATCACACTGCCTCGGCCTTTATAAAGCACTGGTGGAACACTGGAAGGTGTTAGGGGTACAGGACTGAAAACCATGGGCAATATGCATAGGTCAAAGAATGTGCCAACAGTTCAGATGAAAAGGCTTGGGCCTGGGCTTGGTCCAAAGAACGGTTCACCGTCGCGCAGGGCACCGCGGGTTCTTTCCTAGAGTCCCTTAAAGGTGTCGCAACATCCCGTTTTCCAGGCTGAGAAGTTACTAGACCAGAGATGCAACTTCCGGCTTCTTCCCAACCGGCATAGTATTAAAGGGAAAGAATCATACTGACTACTACTCTCCTGGAGCAGCACCCTATTCCACGCGACCTCAGTTCCCGCCCAGCTCCTGTTCAACCGCCCTCAACCCGAGTACACCCCCCAACACCCGCCCAAAAACCCGTAGTGCTGCCCACCTGCTCCCGGCGTGCCCCGCGGCTCCTCGCGCGCGTGCGTAACAAACTCTCTATTGGGTACGGGAGGGGCTGGACCCTCCTAGGCTGGACACGCCCCCGAAAGCAGATCCGACTTCTGATTGGCTGCAGGCGCTCGCCCGAGCTCTGTCGGAACGCAAGGGCAGTGCTTTTAAAGGAGCTAGCTGCCTTGTGCGCTCTAGAACTTTAGTGCTACCTGCCTGTACTTGCTCCCGCGCTTTCGAGATCCAGGTCACCTCGCCAGAAATGTCTCAGGTACTGCGCGTGCCCTGCCGGGCTGCGAAGATGCAATGGGTTTGGGGCAATCAATCTGCAGGAACCCCGCGGGGTGTCTTCCCCCCGGATGCTAGCCTTCTGCTCTGGGATCCGAGCCCAGCTCATAGCCTGGGGAGCGGAACTTTTTTCCTTGCAGATTTCTGAAACTGCCACCCACGCCGGAACTGCTGGAGGGTTGCGGGTGGGCTGGACTCCTGGGTGAAGCAGGCACAAGGTCCTTGAAAGAAAGATGGAGCGAGAGGGGATGAAGGGCAGAGAAAATTGAATCCCTTTCTGAGAAGGACCGGAGTGAAACTGTGGGGCACTTATGGAGGCCCTCCCTGGCAGGGGAGCCTGGAGGTCGGGGGAAGTAATTAGTCTTGTGCCTGGCATGCCCCTGTACAGAAGAGATGCGACTATATGAGGTGGCCCAGAAGCCTTTGCCTTCCCTCCAGTGGAGACCCCTGTCTGGGACCGAGAGGGTGATCCCTGGCTCCTCCCACTGGCCTCTCCCTAATCTGGGCACTGGGACAGAGGTCAACGCTGAACTCCAGGCCCCAGTAGGAAGGGACCAGTGGGCTCCTGACCCTGGATTCCACTGCATTCGTGTCCTAAACCCTAATCGACTGTTTTGACACTCCACGTTTTCCCTCACTGCCGGGTCAAAACGCTGATCGGAGGTCTGGGCTTTGCAGGAACCCCAGCAATTGCTGGATTTGGGCCAGCGGTGGTCAGGCAGTTGGGAGGAAAATTTTCAAGGGCCTGTACATCCATTGTGTGCCAAATCTATTCCCAGCACTTGACACAGGGCTGTAACTGCATGAGTGGACAGGTGGGCCTTTGTTGGTGAGAGGAGAGAGTTTGGGAGGAGTGCTGCTTTCTTGCCTTCCCATCCGTTCCTGTTCCTCTGCCTCTCACTTAGGCTGAATTTGACAAAGCTGCTGAGGAGGTGAAGCGCCTCAAGACCCAGCCAACTGATGAAGAGATGCTCTTCATCTACAGCCACTTTAAACAAGCCACTGTAGGTGATGTAAATACAGGTAGGTATACCCGACTTCTCATCAGAGCAAGCCAAGTTGGCTCGCAGCCCAGGAATCCAAGAACCTCACTTTCCAACTGCCTGAGGCCCTAAGGTTCAAGAGGGGTATGGTGACAGATCACTGGTGTCAAGACTTTAAGCTGGGAGGTTTTTCACTTGTAAAGACCATCTTCCTAAATTCTTTGTGTGACCCTGGGAGCAGATTCAATCTGGTTTTTAGAAGGACCTTACTGATTGTCGATTATCTCAGGAAGCAAAGGCCCCAGAGAGGAAGCCTTCCTCGATCTAAGCCCTGTTGCTCAGTAGTAGCTTTGTTGAGCCTCCTGCTCCCATCAGATGAACAGGGCCATCGAGCACTTGGCAGCCACCCCAAGCCTAATAGATGAGCAGGGACACATGTGGTACCCTGGGGCAAGATGAAAGTGATACTGGCCAAAGTCTGCACTGTTCAGATGACTTTTTCCCTCTCTTTGAAAATCTTGATGCAGACATTTTTGTACGGGCCAGGAGACCAGAGAACAGTCTTGAGTGTTGTTTCCATGGGCACCATCTACCTTTGGTGTCTTGCTTTTATTTTTTGAGACAGGATCTCCCACTGGCTTGGGGCTTGCCAAATAGTCTAGGTTGGTGAGCCAGCAACCCCAGTGATCTGCCTGTCTCTACGTCTCCAGCACAGACTGCCCTGTACTGCTGCCGCCCACCCCCTCCCCAACCTCTCCCTTTTTTTAACCCACATGAGTTCTAGGAATAGAACTCAGGCCCTTATACTTCAAGATAAGCACTGTATTGGCTGACCTATCTCTCCAGCCCCTTGGCACAGATTTTGAAACTATGCTATAGATTACCTCGGTGTATAATATTGTCTTTGCTGCTGCCTCAGGCAGTGGCTATATACTGAGATAGAAGCACAGTGCATTCTAGCAAGGACTCATGACAGCATAGAAGAAAATGTATCCCTCAGCTACCCACCAAGTGTGGCTTCCAGTTCCCCTGGAGCTGAAGTGGCAGGCCAAGCAGGTCAGAACAGAGGGCTTATCCAGGAAGAAGAAGGAAGTGAGAAGGGAACAGGGAGGCTGGGATGCTTTGCTGCCAGAAAGTATTTTGTCAGAGCCTGGCCTCTAGCCAGGCTAGAGGTTTGCTGGCATTTGAGCATCAGGAGATTGGCTTGGAATCTATCACTTCCTGATCAGGAAACTTGTCTGCTTTTCGGCTGTACTATTCAATACAACAAAGACTAGCCAAGGCTTTAGCTGAAAATGGTTAAACCTAAGCAATTCACAAAGCTCAGTCTGTAGCTGCATGAGCTGTGTCTCAAGGGCTCAGCAGTCACGTGGGGCAAGTGGCTGCTGAATTAAATGTTTCAAGAACCAGTGAAACGGCTAGCAGGTAAAGGCTCTTGCTGCCATGCCTGGCTGCATAATGGACCCACTTGGTGAAAGAACTAACTCCCAAAATCGTCCTCTGGCATCCACACATTTGGCACAGTCTTCCTATAAGGTTCCCAGGACTTTTCCCTCAGTCTCAGTCCCCAAGCTGCATGCTCTGCAGTGTCTGCTCTTAGCAATGAAATTGTTCCCCAGGAAGGGTGTTGTGAGAACGTCTCTCCCAAATGCAGTTGCTCAGGAAGAAGCCTGGTCTTCAATTAAAAATAAAAAAAAAAAAAAAAACCTACAAATCAACAAGGAGTGCAGTGATGTGGAGGGAAAATAGGGTCAGGTTATAAAGACAAGTCACCAGGCAAGGGCACCAGAACACTGATGACAGTAACGCAATGGAAAGAAACCAGGCCTCTGAGAAAGGGGGTTGGGGGAACCTAATAGTATTTCTTTTCAGAATTGTCTTTGAGATTTTGTTGTTGTTTTAATGTTGTGTGCACTGGTGCATTACCTGCATTACCTCTTTCTGTGTGAGGGTCCCAGATCCCCTGGAACTGAACTTACACACAGTTGTGAGCCTCCATGTGGGTGCTGAGAATTGAACTTGGGTCCTCTGGAAGAGCATCCAGTGCTTTTTAACTGAACCACCTCTCCAGCCCCATTTTTTTTTTCAGAGTTTTTGGATGTTTGTTTAATTTGATTAAAGTGTATAGGTTTGATTTGATAATTTTTTATCTTTTTCCTCACCCCCTTTTTTTTCTCCCCCTCTGTTTTCTTTAAAACAGAGTCTCATGTAGCTTAGGCTGACACAAATTCACTATGTAGCCCCCCCCAATAAAAACAACAAAAAAAAAAAAACTTGAAGTTCTGATTTTCCTTCTTCCACCTTACAGATGTGGATCACCAGGCCTGTTGTATCTGGTGCTGGGGATGGGACCAGGGTTTGGGGCATGCCAGGCAAGCACTTTGCCAACTGAGCCATGTCCCCAGCCCTTTTATTATTTAATATTTTTCTGATTTTGAAATAGATCTAACTAAGCCACCTAATCTGGCTCTAAGTTTTTTCTTTGTAGGCCAGGCAGGCCTTGAACTTCCAATCCTCCTGCCAGCCTCTGGAATGGTTGGTATCATGGGTATGCACCACCAGGCCTATCAGTTTTCTTTTATTTGTTTGTTTGATTGGTTGGTTGGTTTGGTTTTCTTCGAAACAGAGTTTCTCTGTAGCTTTGGAGGTTGTCCTGGAACTGGCTCTGTAGACCAGGCTGGCCTTGAACTCACAGAGATCCACCTACTTCTGCTTCCCAAGTGCTGGGATTAAAGGCATGAGCCACTAACGCCCAGCCTCATTTTATTTTGGGGGACAAATTCTCATGTATCCTGGAGTGGCTTAAAAGTCACTGTGTAGCTGAGGTGACCTTGAATTCCTGATCCTCCTGCCGCTACTTCCTGAGTGTTGGGATTATAGGCGTGTGCCACTATTTCCTATTTATACAGTGCTGAAACTCACCCAGGCTTTGTACATGCTGGAGAAGCACCTACCCACTGACCCTCATCCCCAGTCCCAAAGAATAGTGTTGTTTTTATATAATATTTTGGGTTTTAAACATTTAACTTACAAAAAAAAAAAAAAAACCTAGGAACATTTTTTATCCTGTTTTTTTCTCAGTTTTAAATTTGGGCTGCTATAAATCCATCTGGGTTTCTTACAATAGAATCCTCTGTGTGAGACACTGGGAGTCTGTGCATTAAAAAAAAAAAAAAATGTCTTGGTTCTAGGAGGTGGTGGCATACACCTTTAATCCCAGCATACGTGAGGCAGGGGTAGGTAGATCTCTGAGTTCAAGGTCAGCCTAGTCTACAGAGTGAGTTACAGGATAACCAAGGCTACACAGAGAACCTCTGTTCTGGGAGGGAAAATGCCTTGCTTTTCATGGAAAAAAAGTTGATAAAGTTCTCTATTAGAACTTGTAACAAATCTACTGTCTACCCTTCCATTGTTGCAGATCGGCCCGGGCTTTTGGACCTCAAAGGCAAGGCCAAGTGGGATTCCTGGAATAAACTTAAAGGTAACTTGTTCTGATCAACTTCCCTCCCTTGTGAGGCTGGGCATTGAAGACTCCATTCTGGAGTAGAAAGGACAAAGGTCAGGAGGCACACACCAGGAGCCAGCCCAGCCAGGCCTAGCATGGCGAAAACTAGGCCACCTCCTTTCCCTCCGAATGTTGCCAATGTCTTTTCTAAGAGCTCCTCTCTGGGCAGAGGTGTTATCTGGAGGGAAGGGATTTGGGGACCAGCCACTGAGAAATAGGCTGGGGAGTGACACTGTAGTCATGTCTTCAGAGTAAAAAGAGTTTTCTCGTCCACACCTCTATCTCCCCAACAAGGCCAGGCAGTGACCCCTTAGCCGAGTGGCCCTTCCCCAGTTCCCTTTCAGCCATAGGGCACATGAAAAAAGGGGATGAGGTAATGCATGGCCAGTGAATGGGACTATTATTTGCTAAGCACAAGCATCCAAAAAGTGTCCAGGCTCCACTAAATCACGTGTTCCCGTGGCAGCAAGCCCTGAAAGCTGGCACCAAAGCTGTTGGCAGCTTTCGTACCCTCGCCAGCCAGTTGCTGAATAAGCCTCTGTCCTCACAAGGGGAAAGGCATGAACTCAGGAAGGGCCCAGCACACTAAAATGCACTGCCATGGGGCCCTGTGGGTCTGTCCATCTTCCACACCATTCTCAGGCCCCAGATACCCTAGTGCTTCACAACAAGCCTCCTCAGTCCCTGAGGACTTCTCATTACCCTGCGGGAATCTATGGCTGTCCCTCAGGGTGTATTCATTGTCCCTTGTGCTGTGACCAAGAGACAAAGATTTGCCTCATTCCTTTCCAAGATCCAGCTGCTTTTCTTCAGTCTTCACCTCTTCTCCCAACTTATCTACCTTGAGGGTAGCTGACTCATCTTTTCACAGCCAACAGCAAAGCTCTGGGAGATATGAATCCAAAATAGAAGCTGGGCGGTGGTGGTGCACGTCTTTAATCCCAACACTCAGGAGGCAGAGGCAGGCGGATCTCTGTGAGTTCGAGGCCAGCCTGGTCTACAGAGTGAGTTCCAGGACAGGCTCCAAAGCTACACAGAAAAACCCTGTCTCGAAACAGCTCTCCCCCCCCCAAAAAAAAATCCAAAATAGATAGTCTGTAAGGCTGAAGCCAAAACACGAAATCGGCAGCATAAAATCACTGCAGGGACACTTCCTTGCCTGTCTAGAGGGCTGAGGTCCATGCTGCCCCACTTTGACGGGTGGCCCATCATGTAAGAGCTTGATGTGTGTTGTGAAGCAGAACTTGTGCCCTGGAGTGCAGTGATCCCAGTCCTCAGCCCATCTCTGAGATATAAGAGAGCTGTGCTGTATGTGTAAGAAACAGCCCCCAGATAGTAAACAGGGATCATAGCAAGTGTGCCCAATACGTGTGTAGATCCTAACATCGTGTCATATGTTGAAAGCTTGAATATCTGGAGCTAGGAAGATTGCTCAGTCAGCAAGTTGCCTGCCATGCAAGCACAAGAACCTGAGTACCTATGTAAATAAGCCAGACACAGCAATATGCATCTGTAACCCTAATGCTGGAAGGGGAAGAGACAGACAGATTGACCCTCGAGCTCACTGGCCAATCCAGAAGCTCCAGGTTCCTTGAGAAACCTTATCTCACAAAATAAAGTGGAGGGTCTGGTGAGAAGGCTGAGCGGGTAAGGGTGATTGCCACCAACCCTGACAACTTGAGTTTGATCCCCAGAGCTCAAAGGATGAAAATCAGTTCCCACAAGTCTTGCCCCCTGATCTCTACCCTAGCCTTAGTAGGTATATGCACCCCTCCCCTGTCTTAATTATTGTTCTATTGCTGTAAAGACACCATAACCAAGGCAACGCTGCTTGCTTACAATTTTAGAAGGTTAGTGCATGACCATCATGGCAGGAAGCAGACAGACATGACGCTGGAGCGGTAGTTGAGAGCTTTCCATCCTGATCCACAGGCGGTAGAGAGGGAGACTGAGCATGGCATGGGTTTTTGAAACCCTAAAGCCCACCCCCAGTGACACACCTTGTCCAATAACACCATACCTCCTAATTCTTCTCAGACACTTCCACTAACTGGGGACCAAATATATGAGCCTGTTGGGGGCTTTTCTCATTCAGGCCACCACACACCCCCTTGCAAAATAAATACATTTTTTTTTTTAGGTAGCTAAGGTGGATCTAGACAGGTGGTTAATTGATCAAGAGTACATGCTGCTCTTACAGAGGACTTGGATTTGGTTCCCAGAACCTACAAGTGGCTCACAACTGCCTGGAACTCCAGTTCCAAGTGGTCTGACACCCTCATCTCACTTCTTCAGACACCTGCATGCATTTGGTTCACATATTTTCAGGCACGTATGCACACTAATTAATAAAACAATAAAGGTCTTTTTAAGTAAATAGAGAGCGATGGAGAAGACACTTGATGTGGAACTCTGACCTCCACATCGCACACAGGTGCACATTTGCTGGCAAACATGCAGACACATACATCCGTATTACATCCACTGTACAGATACAAGTTTTTTTAAAAGCTAAGGCCAGACACCCCACCAGACAAGGATGCCTCTGCATCAGAGTGCCTCCCTAATGTGTGCTCCCACCAATTCCTCCCAGGAACTTCCAAGGAAAGTGCCATGAAAACCTATGTGGAGAAAGTGGAAGAGCTGAAGAAGAAATACGGAATATAATAAGCCAGATTTGGTGGCCAGCCGCACATGTGACCCATGAGACCCATGAGGACATAATGCCTTGTTTTTTTCTAATGTAGATAATATGGTTCTGATAAATTAGAGCCAGAATTAATCGCTGATCCTCCTCCCTGTGTAGTTTTTACTTGAAAAATCAATTAAAAGTACATTTGTTACTTTATTTACTTCTCTGGGCTCTTTTATATTTTTTTAAATTTTTATTTATTTAAAATGTATTTGTTTTATGTGTGTATGGGTGGGTGTGAGTGTAATAGCACATGTGTGTAAGTCAAAGGAAAAATTCAGAGTTGGTTGTCTCCTACTATGTATGTCCCAGGGATCAAACTCAGGTTATCAGGTGTTTCTATCACTGAGCCATCTCACCAGCCCATTATCCAGGTCCTCAACATGACTTGCCTTGCTCCAATCTCTAATCCCATGCACTTTGGAGCTGGGTTTGAAGCTCAGTTTGGTAGGGTGCTGCCTAGCATACACAAATGCATGAGTTCAGTTCCCCAACACTGCACAAAGAAATCAGGCATGGTTGTGAACACCTGTAACCCTAGCACTCAGGAGGTAGAGTCAGGTGTCTCAGAAGTTCAAGGCCATCTCTTGGTGACAGCAAATTTGAGACCAGCCTGGGCTCCCTGAGAGCCTGGGTCATGAAAATCAAAGCAAAGTAAAAGTAAATGAAGATGTGTTCCTGAAGCGCTTCTGCCCTCTTTCTCTGTACCTGGATGGAATGTAAGGGGTGGTCACACGTATGTGCAGCCATGGTGAGGGACGGGGTTGTAGAAGTGGTGTTTATTTCTTCCTCCTGCTTCCAGCCCCCTCAGATCAGGTGAGCTGGCTGGGACCTGAGCCCACAGATGCTCTAAGAGCCCCATCTCCAAGGCCACCCTCAGGTTCTAAAGAGGCAGGATTGACAGTGTTTCATCACTGTCTGGGTCCAACCTCTCCCTGGATCCAGAGCAATTGAGCAAGAGTGAGAGCATCTTGGGAACAGTGTGTGTGCCCTTGGTCTGAGGTCTCCCAGGGTTCCTGGGCCACAGCGGGGTGGGGGGCAGGAAGGCTGGTCAGCAATGAACCAAGGACTTCCTCAGTGGGAAGAAGGGAGAGCAGGGCTTGGGGAGGCCACAGAAAAGCAAGGCTGGACTTTCACAGAAGGATTGCTGTTCAAAAGAAGAAAAGAGACAGCAGCCAAAGCCATACTACAGGTAGGTCCCTTCTGCAGCCCTGAACGTAGGGTACTGTAGTGCTTTTCCCATTTCATGGGTGAGAATATTGAGACTGAAAGGAACTCAAGAATACTCCAAGAGCAAGTAGTTCTCTCTTAACTTTCCTTTTCCAAAGTCCAGGTCCATAGCCACAGTTCAGCCTCACTCCCAGAACAATAGGAGGGCCTGAGAATAACTCTTGCCAGCTCCTGCCACTGATAAATAAATGGAGAATTAGCTTTTAAATATACGTCATTACCCTGGTTCCAAAGCCAAAGCCTGCAGAGAAACGAATGAGGCTAGCAACCTTTGTGTTTGGGTGTGGTACCCTCTGTGTCACAGGACAGGAGAGAGCAGGCTTAAATGTGTGTGATTCTGTGCTAGGCAGTGAGAGCTCAGAGGAGATGCCTGAAGATGCCATCTGAGGGCTGAGCAGTTGGTGCTGTCTATAGGACCTGAGTTCAGTCCCCAGAACTCATAAAAAGCTGGGTGTGGTAGCATGCACTTGTAAGTCCATCACCAGAGACAAAAGCAGGCAAATCCCTAGGGCTCCCTGAGAAACCAGCCTAGCCTACCAGGTGAGTTTTAGGCCAGTAAGAGCCTGTCTTTTAAACAAGATGAACAAGGAAGGTGGCTCAGCAATTAAGAACACTTGCTGCACCTGCAGAGGACCCAAGATGGCTCGCAACTGCCTATAACTCCAGTTTCAAGGGATCCAACACACTCTTGGCTTCTGTGGGCACCAGACATGTGTATGGTACACAGACAGATAAACAACACACTCATACATATAAAAATAAATCTTTTAAAAAGGTAGACAGTGCCTGAACAATGACCCTCAAAGTTGTTCTTTTACCTACAAACACAGACACACACACACACACACACACACACACACACACACACAACACCTGAGTGTGTAGGAGATTGGGTTAACATAGCAAGAGGCAAAGATCAAACGTCTACCCAAGCACTCAGAGGGTGTGACTTCCTAAGTAACAGGGTCTTTTATGAGGAAGTGTTTTCTTGTTGTTAATGTAATACTGTGTTTGAGACAGGGCGCATACTGTCTTATTCTACCCTTCCTAGCTCCATTCCACCGAGGCTGTTAAGACCACTCCTCAATCATTTGCTTGCTCTGTTATTGCTCCCAAAGTAAACAGGCTTGATACCCCGCCAGAGAGGAGGCACACCAAAAGTGAGGCATGGACTGATGCACACCTGGATCCCCGTTACCTCAGAGGTTGAGATGGGAGGATCACACGTTAGAGACCAGCCTGGGCAAGACCCTGTAGAAAGCACAGAGGTACTTGTGCTCACAGAAAAGCACTGGGGAAACTAGGAGTGTTAAACACACAGTTTGTCTCTTCAAGGGGAGATATATCATCTGTTTTCCACCCATAAGACTGGGAGCTGAGGTGGCTAATAGCCTGGTGATGTCTGCCATCTGTATGGCCAGGCTCCCCCAGATTGTTATCCTGAGCCCATTTATCTCAGTCAATCTGTAGCACTCTCCTCTCCAGCTCTTAGGAACATTGCTTACCTTGAGCCTGCTTCTTTACCCAACCTCTACGGAAGATTTCCCTATCTTTATGGAAGATGTCACTTGTATTTAATAAGAGATGGGATATAAGCTTTGTTGTGCACATAGGATTGAGTTAATTATTGCCAGGAAACTTTTTTCCAAATTGTGCTGTCCTATGCCTAAAATAAACACGCTGGTTTTAGACTCTTGGAGTTTGAACCAATACTGGCTACTAAGTCATGTTGAAACCAGACTTCTAGCCTCTCTCAGATTGACACTCTGACATGATGCTTGCAGAGATCCCTCCCCAAAAGACACATCTCAAAGTCAACAACGAAATACACTGAGGGTAAATCACAATAGTAGAGGGTATGTTTAACGTGGAAAGAGGGAAAGACAGACAAAACATTAAGGGGAAAATATCCTTAAATGAAGTTCAAGATGTCCCTCTCCATTCAGACTTGGCTCAAGGCTCAATTTAGCAAACTCCCCTGGAAGGCAATAGTGAACCTTCATGAGACTGTGAAAGGCTTCCAGCATGGAGCTGGTGAGGCTTACGACATGAAGCTGTCACCATCAAGACTCCTTTATTGGGATCTTGTCTCCCACCAGCTTTCAGCTACCATCACTAGCGACCTTCCAATCTACAGTTGTGGGAATCCAGGAGGCCTTAGACCTGGGGCCCACAACTGTCAGCTGGTAACATGATGTTGAGTGGATAAGGAACACTGGGCAGCCTTCTGACTGGCTTATGGCTTGTGAGGCAACTGGCCCTGCAGGGAACAGTGTCCTTGTGTTTCCTGGCAAGGAAGCCTTCAGGCCTGACACTACAGTTACATGGCTCTAGGACTGCCTTCTGACCACTTGACAGTGCTTCTCTGGGGATGGGAAGGGACCGCCCTGTGGAAATGAAAAGTTGGTGGCCTTGGCCATTAGGGTCACCATTTCCATGGCCTCCTATCAGTGACCTTTGTTTACTAAGGACCCCATAGGGTTATCATTAGCAGTCTTCATTTTGAATTTTGCATCCTCGGGTGTGGGGAGTGCACCCTATTACAGTGAACTTGTTCTGGGGGAACACATTCCAAAATCTGCAGACATACCTGTGGCCACTGAGTACCAAGCTGTATACACACTACTTTTTTCTTTATATGATATCTGGCTAAATTTATAGATTATACACATCAAAAGACAATAGCTAATGAGATAGAAAAGTATAATCATACACTAGTTAACCTAAAAATTATGAGTTGCTTACTTGTGGAGTTTTCCACCCCTAGCCTACGCAGTGGTGGGCATAGTAGGGGTGGGGTTGCCCTACTCTATCTCTACCTTATATTTTAAGATAGGGTCTCTCAGTGAACCTGGAATTTACCTTTCCCCACTAAACTAGCTGGTCACTGAATTCTCAAAATCTACCTGTCTCTATTTCCCAGCCCTGCCACACAGGGCATCTTATGTGAGTTCTCATGCTGGCTCAGCAAACATTTTACTCACGGAACCTTCTCTTTTAAAAGCGTTTGAAAACTTTGGCTTATTTATTGTGTGTGCACTTGCATCCTTGTGTGCATTCAGGCAAGTGGTACACTTCAGCCACACGTGGGAGTCAGAAGAAACTCCTGTGCCCATCACCACCTCTCACTTTGTTTGGGACAGTGTCTCTTTTGTTCTTCCTCTACTGTCTGCCAGACCAGGTGGCCCTTGGGCTCCTGGGGATCCTCTGCCTCTGTGGGAGTGTTGTGAGTACAGACCATGCTACCCAGGTTTTTGTGTCATTCTGGGGTCAGATTCAGTTCCTCACACCTACACAGTATGTGTTTTTACATCCTCCCCTCCCCATCCCCTGCATCTTCCCTTCTGTCATGTCCCCTCTCATGGCCACCGGCCACACCTCAGAGCTGTGTCTACACTGATTGTCTGAGGGCAAGAAGGACAACTTCTTGTGCTCCCAGAAGCTGAAAGTCCTGAAGAACTTCCTGAGAACACACTTGCAAAAGCAGTTCCGTGAGTTCCATGGAGGGGGCCCAGGTGAGTGAGCTTTTTAAACTTGCTTCTTAAGGTGATTCCCAGGCTGAGCAGGTGTGTCAGCCTTCACCTTCCCTTCCTCCTCCCCTGCTGCCACCCCACTACACACACTAGAGAGCAGTCCTACTGGTATTTACCTGGCATTCTAAGGTGTCAGCAATAGCTTCCCCTCCGGGGTTCTTCTGGGCTTCTGCAGTAACACAGATCCTGGACTGGCGCCACAGTGCTGTGCCTCACCTTGGCAGAGCTCCACAACAAGCAAATGTGGGTTGATCAAAGATGTCCTCCCTACACCAAAGTGGTTCCAAGATCCAGAAGTCTGGAGACAAGCATCTCCAAGAAACTTGGAAGTGTCATTCACTGGACTGCAAGTCAGGGGTCTTCAGTTCTGCAGACATCCAAGTTAATGAGAG